TCTCTCTCTCTCCTCTCTCTCTCTCTCTCTCTCTCTCTCTCTCTCTCTCTCTCTCTCTCTCTCTCTCTCTCTCAGAACGCCAAGATGCCATGTAAGCATTCCAGCTTACAGTTCCAGCTGAGCCCAGCCTTCCTGCCATCCCTGCCAAGACACCAGACATATGAGTGAAGCCATCATGAAGCCTTCAGACTCGTCCATTCACTAGCTCAATGCTACTGAACGCCCTCAGTCAACACCTGTTGGAGCAGAAGAATTGCCAGCTGAGCCCTGCCCAAATTCCTGACACACACCCCCCAATTGTAAAATATTCCCCAACTGAACACCTACTTTCAATATTTAAGAACGCTGCAAGGGGCGTGCTTATCACACTTGTATGCGAATTTCCATAGGCTGGACTCTAGCCGCTAGAGGTCTAGAAGGAGAATTGTTGGGTTCGGGATGGGCGAATCTGCTTCTTTTTCATAGCTTATCTTTTTGTGTGTTGAGGCGGAAGGAGGCATGGTGGGCTGAACATTACACGCCCCTAGAGGCGCTCTCGCTTCTCCAGCTTGGCAGAATGTTCTGTCTCGTCATCCTGTCTCGCATTGTCTCCTGGACCTCCCATCGCCACAGACAATGGACAGGCTCGATGAAGCAATTTCTATTTCGATTCCCTTCCTGGATCTGGCACAATATTGACGCCCCGCGTTTCCGCTGCCTAGGAGGTGGGTGCCTAGGAGGCGGGGCCGTGCCGACCCTGCCGTCGGCGTCGATGTCGCCAGCTGATGACGCAGAGCGCCGCGTGCTCCCCCACGTGTGCTGCATTTCCCCCTGTACTTGAGGAATTGCTGCGGCCGCTTTTCGTGGGGGGCGTAGTTGGTGGCAGCTCCTGGGCTCCCAGCGTGAAACAGGGAGCGCTGGTAGCTGCCCGGGGCAGAGGATCCGCGATTATGGAGCATCTTTTGCTGGAGGTCGCGGCAGCGCCTCTGCGGTTAATCGCTGCTAAGAACGAGAAGAGCCGCAGCGAGCTGGGCAGGTTCTTGACCAAGCAGGTAAGAACCTGATCCAGCGGGAAAATGCCCAGCCGACACCAGCTCTCTTCTTGCCCCGCGGTCCTGCGCGGTGACGCGCTGCTTTAAGGGGTGCGAAGTGGCGTCTTGTGTCTCTGGCCCTCTCCCCAGGGATGGCCAGTGACGGAGGCGTCCGTGAAGTGTTTGAGGAGGACTGGAAGGAGCCTTTTGTTTTTATCTGGGAGAGCTTTCCCTTCCCTTCTCTATTGACTTACCCCATGCAGCACTCTGACCCCCTGTGGCAGCCGTGGCCTTCGGAGAGAAATGTGGTTTGTTTTTCCGTAATTGAGGTGGCATGTAATTTTGCCATGTGTTTTACCTAAGTGTCCCGAATCCAGCCATCCCTATTTGTTTAGGTGAATGTTTTTCTTTCTTGCCTTGTCCCTTCTTTTCGGCCCATTGACAAGTATTGATTGCGTTCCTGCTTGTGCCTAAGGCACAGTGTAGTTCTGTGAGGAGGCAAATAAATAAAGCCGTGTGGTCTCTGCCCCCAGGGAATTTAACCTCTGTTTTTGGAGACAGTTCATAAACAACAACAGGACAAAGCAAGACAGGACTAACCGCAGGATAGTAGCTATGGGAATTATGAGGTGAATTAGAGTTTTCTGGGAAATGGGTCTTTGGCCTTTTAAGAGCCTTGTCTCATTGCCATCTCCGCCCCCGCCCCCCCCCCACCTGAGTTGAGAACGCGTATCATGCACTTTTTCACTTTGCATTTTAATTTCCTTTTTTATGCTTTCCCACCCCCAATATCTGTGAGCTTTTTCAGGGTAGATTTTTTTTTTCTATCTCCAATATCTAGAACTTAATCACAAGTCCGTTGTCTACCATTGCTTAGAAAGCTACGGCAGTATTTTGTCTCTGGAGGGACAGGGGACTAACGTAAGAGGCATATATGTTGATGACAACAAATTGAACGTGTGAAGCAAAGGGGATGGAGGAGTGGAAAATATCCCCGGGGTTTCTGGCCTCTGAGCCCCCAGTGAAGGGAATCACTTAACAAATGGGGAAGTCTATGAAGAAAACTGATTTTTGGTGGGCTGGAGTAAGGAGAGAGAGAATCAGTTTATATGAGCTGAGCTGGTAGTGACAGCCTCCTCAATTAGGTATCGTTGCTGGAGTTATTCTATAAATGGGCTTTAGGATTTAGAGCAGAGGTTCTGACTAGGGATCATGGACGAGCAACAGGGGATTTATGATTCCACACCACTGTGATTGGATGCAAAATGGGTGTTTATGTATTGGGAGTAGTGTCGGGAAATGGTTTGTAGCCTTTACTAGATAAGGTTTTGGAGAATCTGACACACTGTAGTGTGAGAACTACTCATGTAGATAGATTCTGAGACTGTATAATAATGCTGCTAGACTTGAAAGCTACCAGAAGGTTCACTTATATTAAGGAGATATGGATTCATTTGCTTCTTCCTTTTCTTTGCCAAATATTGTCTGTCAAATTCTATGTCTTTCAGGTTTATTCCTTTCCATTTTCAGTAATAATTTCAAGCTTTTCACTCAGAGAAGAATTGATTGGTGTTTTCATTCTACTTTCTCCAATTTTTGGAAACAAAATTAGTTTTACTGAAAAGTAAAGATTTTTTAAAACTTTAATTCTCATTTGAATTTGGGATCTGAATTTAAAAAATTTTTAGGGTTATGCTTCTTTCTGCGTTTCTTATCTCAGCTGGTGACACCAACCTCTCTATTATAGAAAACTGAGGGGCCTCAACTCCTTTCATTCTGTTTTCTTCACATATAGGCAAGTCCTCCTGATTTTGCTTTCTCAGTATTGAATCTATTCTTTCCTCTTCATTTCTACTACCACGATCATCCTACAATTCTGACTCCAATCCTAGTGTGTGGTTTTTCCAACACCACCAAGCGGTTCTTGGACACCAGCTGTATGTCCTACACTTGAACTCAATTCTGACCCTTTCTAATTGGAGATAGCATCAGATCCCACAGGTTAAGTGCTCAGTCCTACAGGACTGTTCTTCTACTCTCATTTGAGATGCTAATCATAAGACCAGGTTGTTATCTGTGCTTCTGACTGCCTGTAGATTGCAGGTTCCAACTTCCCTCTCCGGGGGTTTGATTACTTTGCTGGAGTGGCTCACAGAAATCAGAGAGACATTTTACTTACTAGATTACTGGTTTATTATAAATGAACATAAATCAGGAACTGCCAGATGAAAGAGATGCATAGGGCAAGGTATGTGGGAAGGGGTTCGGAGCTTCCATACTTGCTCAGGCACCACTCTCTCCACATCTCCACGTGGTCACCAACCCAGAAGCTTTCCAAACCGTGTCTGTTTAGGTTTTTATAGAGGCCTCATTACATAGGGATGACTGATGAAATCTTTGGCCTTTGGTGATTGAATTCAATCTCTAGCCCCTCTGCCCTCTCTGGAGGTCAAGGGGGTGGGACTGAAAGTGCCAACCCTCTAAACAGCCCCTTCTTGGGTGTTGTCCAAAATTCACTTCATTAGCATCACAGAGGACACCTTTATCAATTCTATCACAAATTCCAAGGGTTTTAGGAGCTATGTGCCTGGGATGGGGTCAAAGACCAAATATATATTTCTTATTATAAATCATATCACACCCCCTTACCTCCCTGATCCCTGTCTATGTTCAGGAAGAACAGAGTGCTTAGCATGCCTGAGTACTGGAACTGAAGTATGGCTGAAAATCCATTCTCTTTTACTTAATTGCTTTTGGGGCCTTTTGGGACAAGTTACTTAATTCCCCTAAGTCTCAATTTCTTGATATATTACACATGGTAGCTGCTAAATAGTTACAGGGAGTATTTAAAAACAGGGACTGTGGAGCCAGACTGTGTGACATGGATTCCTGGTTCTGTTGCTAGCTTTGTGACCTTAACTCTTTTTTTTTATTTTTCAGTTTTCTACTTAATGGGTTGTTGTTAGGATTAGATGTCTAAATGCTATCAATAAAAGTGATTACTATTGCTATTACTATAAATAAGATTGTTGTGGGATCTAGATATAATGCATGTGAGGAGCTTACAACATGCCTGGCACATAGTAACTAATCTGTACATGTGAGCTGTAATAGTAATTTTTATAGCGTTCTTTTTTTTTAAAGATTTTTATTGGGGAATTAGGGGAAGGGAAACAGACAAGTTGCTGTCGTCTTGTTCTTCAGTTTGTGGAGGACGTTGCTTTACTGGCCCAAGTTGGCACCATCATTGCGCTCTTCCCAGGCGAGGCAGATCAGTCGCCGGCTTCTGGACGGCTGCTGGCCACTCACGCTGGCTGCTGGCCACACACAGTAGCCCATGGCAACCCACTGCCACAGGGGCTGCAGCCTACGCTGTCACCGGCGACTCAATGGCAGCCCAGCTCCAGGTTGAGCTGTTGTTCAGCATCTTAGCTGTAGAGGGCAGTGTCACTGGTCCTCATATGTGGGATCCGAACCGGGGCCCTCTGGCGTCCCAAGCCAGTTCTTAACCATCGTGCCACTCGGCCGGCCCTGTAATAGTAATTTTTAAAAACAGTTTTATTGATATAATTCACATACCATATAATTTATCCATTGATGTGTACATGTCAATGGTTTTTGCTGTAGTTCACAGATATGTGCAATTGTCAACCACAGTTCATTTTAGAACATTGTCATTACTTCAAAAAGAAGCCCCCATACCTTTTAGCGGTCATCTCTTATCACTGTGCTCTCCCTCCTCCCCCAAGCAACTACTAACTTACTTTTTTTCTCTATAGATTCTTTATTTTGATTATTTAATATATTTATCATTAATAAGATAAATCTGAACATGTCACCATTTTGCATAAAAGTTCCCTTTGTCTCCAGAATCAAAATCCAAGCTTTCTAAAATGGTATATGAAGTGTTATTGTTGTTTTAGTTTTTAGAAATTTTATTGGAGAACAATGTGTTTTTCCAGGACCCATCAGCTCCAAGTCAAGTAGTTGTCTTCAATCTAGTTGTGGAGGGCGCAGCTCCTTGGCCCATGTGGGAATCAAACTGGCAACCTTGGCGTTATGAGCCTGTGCTTTAACCACCTGAGCTAACCAGCTGCCCCTTGTTTTAGTTTTCAGTTTTTCTGTTTTTTTTAAGAACTTTCTGTCAACCTTATTTCCATTTTATGTTTGAAGTTTTTTTAAAAATCCAGCCCAGTTCTCAACTGGGTGCAAGTTTGGAGACATTTTTGATTGTCAAAACTGGTGGTGGAGGTGCTATTGTCCTCTAGTGCATAGAGGCCAGAGATGCTAAACATCTTATTAATACACAGAATAGCCCCCACAACAAGAAATTATCCAGCATCAAATGTCAGTAGTGCAAAATTAAGGAAAACTCTACATATGTGTGTCACCCTAACAACAGAATATCAAAATATATGAATCAAAAATTGTCTGAAAAGGAAAAATAGACAAATTTACACTTATAATTGGAGACTTTAACACTCTATCCTCAGTAATTGATAAAACAAGTACAAAAAAAACAGGGTATAGAAGTTCTGAACACCACTATCAACAAACCTGACCTAATTAACATTTATAGACAGTTGTGCCCCATAACTGCAGAATACATGTTCTGAACATCTGGAACATTCACCAAGATAGATCATATGCTGGGCCATTAAACAAGTCTCAATAAATTTAGGAGAATTGAAATTGTACAAGGTATATTCAATGACCCCAATGAAATTGAATTAAGGGAAAAAGACCAACCCAAAAGACACTGGGAAAATCCCTAAATGTTAGAAATTAAATAACAAAATTAAAAGCAAAAACTGATGGTTAAAGAAGAAATCACTGGAAGAATCAGAAAATATTTTGAACTGAATGATAATTTAAACAATTTGTGGGATACAGCTAATGCAGTATTTAGAGAGAAATTCATAACATTAAATTCTGTATTAGGAAATAGTGGTTTCTTAAGCTTCACCTTATAAATTAGGAAAAAAAGAGTACATTAAACCTAAAATAAATAGAAGGAAGAAAATCATAAAGAGTGGAAATTAATGAAATATTGGGTTGTTGGAAAATTCATGACGTATTTTTTCTATGTTTTTCGTTGCAAAAATGTGTCATGACTTTTACAACAACCCAATAGAAAATGGACAAACAATAGAGCAATCCAATGAAACCAGAAATTGATTTTTGAAAAGACTTAACAATAAAAGGGAAAAATCCAAACTACTAGGAATAAAAGAAGGCCGCCATTATAGATTCTAAAAAGGGTTAAAAAGATAAATGACTAATATGAGCAACTTTATGCCAATAAATTTAGAAGAAAGGAATATTTGAAGAATAGAAACTACCAAAGTCCACTCAAGAAATAGACAAAAACAAGGTAGGAATAGAACAGAAACAAGCTAGGAATAGAATAAAACTTATGTAGGCTGATACAGAGCATATACAAAAAACTAGTTAGCATCATAGTTAATATGTAAACAACTGAATTTAAAAGTGGGTAAAAGACTTGAAAAAAAATCACAAAAGAAAAATGAATGGCCATTAAATACTTGAAAAAATTCTGAACATCTTTGGTCATGAAGGAAATGCAAATAAAATCACCAGATACCACTCTACCTCTACGAGAATGGCTAAAACTAAAACTGACAACACTTTGTATTGGTGAAGTTATGTAGCAGCTAGAGCTCTCAAACGTTGCTGGTGGGGGGTGTAAACTGGTGAAACTACTTTGGAAAACAGTTTCATTTAAACATTAAAAAAAAGTTATTTTTAATTAAAAAAATTGAAATTTATTATCAAGTGAAGCATGTAGTTACCATACACCCAGCAATCTGACTCTTAGATTATGAAAAATATTAAGAATAATGAATATATGTCCATAAATCTCTTGTACATGATTGTTCATAGTAGCTTTATTAATGATGGCTAGAAACTGAAAATACCCATTAACGTGTAAATGGATAAACAAATTGTGGTATATTCATACAGTGAAAAGTAGTGAAATGGAATAAATTATTGAAACATACAACTATGTGGATAATTGTCAAGAGCATATTGAGCACAAGAAGCTGTACAGAAAAGAGTACATACTGTATAATTCAATTTGTGTAAAGTTCTAGAATAAGCAAATCTAATCTGTAGTCATAAAAATCAAATCATTCATTGCTTAGGGTGAGGGGGCTGACTGCAAAGGAACATTTGGGAACTTTGGGTTCGATACTTTAATTGAGGTAGTAGTTACATGGCTTGTGCATATACCAGAACTCATCCAACTATAAGTGGGTGCGTTTTATTGTTTGTAAATTACATCTCAATAAAGTTGACTTTTAAAAAGTTAAATATCTATTTTCTCTAATACAGTTTTCCAGATTACCTTTTGAAGAAAAAGTTCATTAAGTAATGTTCTCTGGAGGTTTATCTCTAGCCTACAATTGTCTATTTGTATAACATATTTGTGTTTGTTTTCATTTATTTTGTAGATGTGGATTTTTTTCTTCATAGTGTAACCACTTAACTGTATTACTGTTTTTTCTTTTTTATCATTTTTATCCTCCAATTACAGTTGACATACAATATTATATTAGTTTCAGGTACTATATTGCTTTTATTTTGTTTTTTTACATTTTAAAAAGATATCTTTAGAGGACTTAATTATAGGGACATTCAGCAGTTGCAAATATGGGGTCATGCCCCAGTGTATCATGACCAACTCTGTTAAATTTCCTTGTCTCTATTTTTATGAAATCTTATAAGCAGCAGAACTAATACTGATAGAAATTGCTTCAAGATAACCTGCTTCCCTCATCAGTGCTTTGTTCAGAATTAGGTGTTTTTATGAGAGAATGCTCTATAATTTGTGAGACTTTGTAAGTGCTCGAGCGTAAGGTGATCTCTTCTTTTCAGAGTGATAACTTTCAAAAAAATTGTTATATTTTTGCACAGGGTATTTAAGTTGTGTTGAAGCTGCACTCATATAGATAACTGTTCAGTGTGAAACTCCTTAGGATGAATTTATAGCATTGGACTTCCTGAGTCAGAGAGTCCTTTAGGTAATTTAAACCTGCTGTCACATTGTTGGACAGCAAGGGTTGTACAGACCTGCATACAGATTAGCAATATGAAACTTGTTATACTTCAGTTTTCCCTATTATGCTTATGGATATTCTGAGCTCAGGCATTAAATTTTTGTGATCTATTTCATCTTGCATATCAAAGTTTGGTTGTCTACTTTGGATCTGTTTTGTTTATTTATCAGAGGCCAAAGTCTTTATAGGGATATCCACATTCATTTGCAGGAATTGATTTCTTATCTCCTTTCTTCAAGAGTTGGCAGTTTAGCGTACTAACTATTTTTTTGCTTTGTTTTATTTTTCATTTAATTCCTGTATTTTCCTTAAACAGCAAAGGAGTTGGGGGAAACACTGGATTCCCTAGAAAACATTGAGATCCTGTAGAGAGATTATTTTTCAGAGAAGCTGTGCAGCATTTTACATGGAATCTGGATATCATCAGTCTTTTTACCTCAAACCTCAGTGGACTGGCACTTATTTGTAACTGCCTTTACATTAAATTAACTCTAATCCTCTATTGCAACACCTCCCCCTTCATCCCCTCCTCCCCCCCCCTCCCCACACACACACTGTGTTTTATAAGATAAACTTATGAAGTCTGGAAATTGGATATTTTAACTTCAAGCTAGAGCTCTGCTCTTCAGCAGTGCAAACGAATATTGTTTACATGGATGTTTTGTTTGGCTTTTCTCAGGTGTGGACACCTCAAGATCGCCAGTGTATCCTGAGTACCTTAGCACAGTTACTTCTGGATAAGGACTGTACTGTGCTGGTTGGTCGCCAGCTGCGCCCCATCCTTTTGGATTTACTGGAAAGGAATGCTGAAGCCATTAAAGCTGGAGGCCAAGTCAATCACGATCTACACGAACGGCTCTGTGTGTCAATGAGCAAACTCATTGGTAGCCATCCTGATGTCCTCCCGTGAGTAACAGTTTTATTCTTCACGTTTTTCCTTGAGGTGGTAGAACCTGCTGTCTCCTGGGAGGTAAGGAGGAGTCTGAGCTGAGAAGAAGGGAAGAGGGGAAATACGGAAAGGAAAGATAAGTGACACTGTTCTGTAAAAATAATCACGAATCCATTTGTCTAGCTCAGTTCAGTGACCATTTACTAGGTTTAAGTCTTGGCAATCAAGACAGGTCTGGAAAAATGTCCAGGGTATGTCCCCTGCCCTCAATGATTATATCATCTGGCAAGATGTACATATAAGGGAGATTTGAATGAGTTTTAGCTCACACTCTTACAGCAACCGCTTCCAGTGGATGAGATTTGTTGCTTGCTGGACAGAGTAGCTGAAGGGGGTGGGTTAAAAGAGCTCAAATGTTCTTTTTTAGCTTTCTATAAATCTGTCCAAATCAGTGTGCTAAGAAGTTGTGTTATAACTGGATTCTAATGTATTTCTCTTTTGACCTGCTCTTTTTCCAGCCTGGGCCTGTTCACCCCTCTATAGGCAACCCAGTGATTCCCCTTCTTGCAGGAGGTCACCATACTGATGCCCAACTTAGTGCAGACCCCTGATCTGCATAACACACTACAGCCCAGAATTCGTGGGCTCAAGCAAGCCTTCTGCCTCAGCCTCTGAAGTAGTTGGGGCTACAGGCATGTGCCACCCTACCTGCTTTCTCTTCTAAATTGATAGTAAATACTGTTTGTGTGGAATAACCAAATAACCAAAAGAGGCAGGAAAATAAGTGTCAAGCGTTGTACTAACAGGAGCATCTTTTGTATCCATTTCTTATTAGTCGTCATCATCACAATAAATACACTTGCCTTTCTTGGAAGTATGATCTCTAGTGTGGTCCTTGGATGAGGGAATCAGAAATGAAGGCTTCGGAGAAAACCATAATTTGTATGAGTTTTTATAAAAGGGGAGGAAAAAATGGGTCCAGTTTAATGGAACTAGAAAGTATACAGTAAAGATCACCATCGTACGTGGTAATCAGAAACATATGCTGTGGGTTGATTGAGGATTGGGATTGTGGCCTTACTTGGTGCTTTAATCATTTAGGTGTACTTGACTGTGGCACTATTTCACAAGGTGTGCTGACTGTCCTCTACTTACCCTGTAGGATTGACATGTGGGTAACTTGAACCCCCACTTCTCTTAAGCCTTTATGGTAGAGTGCTTTCACATTATGTCTGAGAGTCGTTAAAATGATAGATTAGCTACATTTGGTCTCCTATCAGTTTCAGATTATATGTTCTTATTAAATAAATGTAAGGCATATCCATACTTTTTCTTTCGCCAAAGCAGTATATTTTATTTTATATTTTGTATATGCTCCCACCTTGTTGCAAAATGTTATAATGCATTTTACAAGGGTGCCCATGATAAAGTAACTTAAAAACAAACAGACCAAAAAAAGCCACACGTAAATGATGAGTTCAGTGTGTGATGTAAAATTGACTATAGGTAATAATGTGGAATGGGATTTCGATTTTTACTTTTAAGAAATGTAGCTGATTAATTTGGCATGTGCCCCAAATTTCCTCTGTAAGGGAAATATACCTAATGTATTAGGAATGTACCTAATATATTTAGATCGGATGCAGTTATTCATTCAATAGGTAAATACAGAAGCTCTCTCTTTTAAGCTGTAGGCCACATCATGGGAATAAGAAAGTCAAATATAATGGGTTCCTGTACTTGGAAACAATTGGATACAGTATGTTAATAGAGGTGTGAGCCAAATATTTAAGGGGAGCAAGAAAATCATTAAAGTAAGAAAAATGAGTGTTATTATCCTCCTGAAAATTAGAGGTTTTGTACAGGTTGTGGAGGAAGAATGGAGAGAAGAGAAATGGGATGGGGATGAAAATCTAGAAAAAAAAAAGAATCTGGAGAGGAGGAACCCAGTCAAGCTCCCAAGGATCCTAATGCCATTCATTTTTGGGTTCATACCCTTTTCTGAGGCCCATCTGTCTAGCTAATTGGGGTTTCTATGAGGCACCACGTTAGTCTTAACAAGACAGTTCTTTTTTTCCTTGCTTGTGCCAGTTGTTCATTACTGTCCCCCTGCCCCCACTTTGTTGAGACATAGGGCCCTTGCCAGAGCACTGCTCATTTCCCCTCATCCTCCTCAAAGACCCGTTGGGTCAGGTTGATCACTTGATTACTATTATACTTACCTGCCTACGTGTTTGTATGTTGCTGCCTGCTGGTTCCACATACGCTGCCAACACCTGCTGCCCATGAGCTGGTGGAATACATCCAGCCTCCTACACCACAGCGGCCAGCTCTCTCTTCTAAGTCACAGTGAACCTTGCAAGACCCATTTGGTTCAGTCCTCTTCAGCATGTCTTTGGCATTAATTTACCAAGCCTCTATTCCTGTCTGCCTGGCTTTCTCATTGAAGTCCCAGACTTCCCACCCATCTTCTGAATTCTCGTGCTGCTTTCCTCTCACCCAGCTGACGTCCAGGCGTCTTCTCTCACCCAAACCCTTCCGCTTTGCCCTCTCTCTGCTCTGACCTGCACACTGCCTTATGTGTAATACTTAGCCTCTTTTCTGAATGTTCCTTTTGCCTCTTTCACTGATTTGTGGTGGCCTTAAGGAGACTGTGTCCCTTTTGGTACTCAGGTGGGGGCTCTTTAATCTTGCCTTCGACTTTCCCCATGGTCAGCATATGTAGTGGGTGTCATTTCTCTTCTGTGAAGTTTTTTGCACATTCTTCCCCTATTCTGTATAATCCTTGTCTCTGGCACCTGCCATCTTCTGCTTTATTTTCTACTGCTGCTTTTTGAACTTACTGATCAACCTCCTCTTACTTCTTCCACCTTTGAAGAACTTGGCACCTGGCCCACCATCTTCCCCACCCCAGTTCCTGTCATCACATTTGGAACATTTATACAGTGTGACTCCTTTGTTCCTTAACTAGCTAATCTCCAGTTAACTTGTTTTTCATTCCTGCTCACTGCAATGGTTACACCCTGGGCCCAACTTGATCTGCACCATCACCTTTGAAATTACTGATCCAAAAGCCCCGTTTCTGGACTACCATCTCCTATCCCCCTAATTCACTTGCTCAATTGTGTTTAGCACACTGTTTTTTTCTCCTCACTGGGACTGCCAATTCTTTCTTCCTATTTATCAGCCCCTTCCTGTACATAGCTTCTAATACAGTGTGAAACTCTATTTTCCACATTATGGTTGCTGTCTTTTTAATTATGCCCCTTTGTCTATCTGTTCAGTGTTCATGCCTACTTAGAAAACTCCAACTCTTGATGAATCCACCGTCGTGTCTGCAGTAGGGCAACCAAATCACACATCTGAGCACGGCGTTTGAATGCCTGGATTCCAATAGCCACTCCACACTTAGTAGCTTTGTGACCTGGAGCAAATAACCTCACCATTCTAGACTTCAGTTTCCTTACCTGTGTACTGGGGATAAAAATACCTACTGTTGACAGCCTCTCTCTTCTATTCCTACTTCATAGAAGACCTGGGTAATGAGTGCAGAAAGAGCTAAACCAATAGGACCAACATGGACCAGCACATAAAGGGCACAGAGGAGTTCGCTCTTGTTCATTTTCCCCACTCCTTGGATTTCCTTTGAGTCTACTATACCAAGGAATACAATAGGAGAAATAACAAGGATGCGCTACGACATCATTTACTACTTGTATTGATTTGACTAGAACCGCTGAGAATCGCCATGTCTGCAGTACACATAGACTTACTTAAGCTTTTAAAATTTACTTTCATTTTTAAAAAATGCACGTAAACTTTTTTTGTTGTAAAAATTTACCATCTTAACCATTTTAAAGTATGCAGTTCAGGAGTGTTAAATATATTTGCATTGTTGTAAAACAGATCTTCAGAAGCGTTCATCTTGTAAAGCTGAAATTTTATACCCTTTAAACAACTTTCCTTTGTTCCTTCTCTCCAGCCCCTGGTAACCATTCTACTTTCTGTGTCTATGAGTTTGCCTACTTTAAATAGCTCATATAAGTGGAATGATACAGTATTTGTCCTTTTATGATTGGCTTATTTCACTTAACGTGATGTCCTGAAGATTCATCTGTGTTGTCACATAAGACAGGATTTTTTTTCTTTTTTAAAGCAGTACAGTATTCCATTGTGTGTACATCCTACAATTTATTTATTCATCTGTCAAAAGATATTTGGGTTGCTTCTACCTCTTGGCTATTGTGAATAGTGCTGTTATGAACACAGATGTGCAAATATCTCTTTAAGACCCTGCTTTGTTATGTCTTTGTGGTGAATTGACCTTATATAATGTCCTTATTTGTCTCTTTTAACAGTTTTTTTATTGAAAGTCTTTTTTGTCTGATATTAATATAGCCCCTCCTGCTCCTTTTCGGTTACCATTTGCATGGAATTTTTTTTATCTCCCTTTTTTTTATACTTTTATTTATTTATTTAGACATCCAGTATTATTTTATGTTAGTTTTTTCATAACTTGCAGCCTATTTGGGTCCTTAGATCCAGGGTGAGTTTCTTGTAGATAGCATACAGTTACAGCTTGTGTTTTCAACCAGTCTGTGTCTTAGTTGCAAGTTTAAACCATTTACATTTCAAGTAATTACTGATATGGAAGGACTACCTATTGCCATTTGTTCATTGTTTTTTTTGTATGTCTTGTAGCTTTTTGTCCCTTTTTTACTGCACCTTTTTTGTTTTATGAGGACCCCCGCTTCATTTTTTAAGATGCAATCAAGGTGTCTCTTCTCAGCTCCCCTATGTTCAGTTGAATACTTTTTCTTTGTGCCTCTTGTTGTTTCTGTGACTGTCTTCCTTACTAGGTCCAAAGTTCCTCGGGGAAAATATCTCCTTGGCTTTTTACCCCCAGGACTTAACACAGTGCCTGGCACATGAGAAGTCAAAAAATGTTTGTTGAAAATGAATGCATTTTTACTTGCAATAAGTACTTGTGGTTTTTGTATTCTTTTAGTCAGGTATCTCATGCCATGATCCTGGTTCCTGAATTTCAGCACATTCAATCTTAGGACGAGGTGGCTTTGTCTCTCTTTTTTTTAAAAAGATGCCATTTCTTTCGTTCTTTTTAATTTTTTTTTTAGAAAGTTTATTGGGGAAACAGTGTTTTTTCAGGACCCATCAGCTCCAAGTCAAGTAGTCTTTAATCTAGTTGTGGAGGGTGCAGCTCCTTGGCCTATGTGGGACTCGAACCTGCAACCTTGGTGTTACTAGCCTGTGCGCTAACCACCTGAGCTAATTGGCAGCCCCAGCATTTGTCTCTTTGTTCTCAGACCCTTGGAAGTTCCTGTTATGTTCTGCTGTCCTGTCTCAGTGGAGATGCATACATTGATATCCTCACCAACAAATACAAATTCTCTTTCTTTTTGAAGGTTTGCCCTGAGGTATTTCAAGGACAGTTCTCCAGTCTTCCAAAGACTCTTCCTAGAGAGTTCGGATGCTAATCCAGTGCGCTATGGGCATAGGCGGATGAAGCTCCGGGACCTGATGGAAGCAGCCTACAAGTTTTTGCAGCAAGAGCAGTCTGTATTCCGGGACCTCTGGGACTGGAGTGTATGTGTTCCACTCCTCAGAAGCCATGACACCTTGGTCCGCTGGTGCGTATAGCTGTTGGGCTTTTCCTGTGCTTCTAATGTGGGGATGGTAGAGGGAGTGTAGAGTTGTGAGGGAAGGGAAACCATTTTTTTTTTTTTTTTTTTTTTTTTTAGCTGAGCCATCCCGCCACCTGTTGGCAGCTCCGTGGCTGCTCAGCTCGGGCTGACTCGAACCACTGTTGCTCAGAGCTCAAACTCTTGAGCGAGCTCTTAACCAACTGAGCCACTCAGCCGGCCCAGGAAGGGAAACCATTTAAAATTTATCTTTGTGCTGGTGCCTTTGGGGTTCTTAATTCCTTTCCCTAATCATGCGTCATGTTAGAGGAAAATGAGACGATATGAGTGGAGTTCCACCTTTTTATTGTTCTGTCAAGTGAATTCATCATGCCTGATTTGTATTTTCTGCTCTTAAAGGTGTTATATTGATTCTGTAAGATTTCCTTTGCTTGTGTTCAGTTGGCTAGCAAATTTTCTTGATTCTTTAGAATCACCTGCAGGTCCTTCTGATTTATATACTTTGATTTTCTCCAGGTACACAGCCAATTGTCTTGCTTTGGTAACCTGTATGAATGAAGAGCACAAGTTGTCATTCCTTAAAAAGATTTTTAATAGCGAGGAACTGATCCATTTCAGGTTGAGGTAAGCAGGAGCATGCTTGGAGATCTTGAAGTGGCCTCACTGTGCATTAAAGTCACTGATGAGATCCTCCTTTACCTCAGGCTACTAGAAGAGGCCCAGCTGCAGGACTTGGAGAAGGCCTTGGTTTTGGCCAATCCTGAAACTTCCCTTTGGCGTAAGGAGAAGGAGCTGCAGTACTTACAGGGACACCTTGTTTCCGCTGATCTATCCTCCAGGGTGACTGTCGTCTGTGGTGTGGTGCTGCCTCGGCAGCCGCCAGCCCCTGGAGAGCAGGTATGTTGGCATCGGGCAGGATATGTGCCTCTCCCCACTCCTAACCACCTATGACACAGAGCCCCGCCAAGGAAAAAAGTGTGCTTTTTCTCTTATGATACAGGTGTGAACCAAATTGAATTTGCCAGATTGTTTTCCATTTACAGAAGTGTTCAGGGAGAGATTAAGACAAATTTACTCAGGGCCCTCCTCTCTGATTTTCCCTTTGTCTCTAATGTTAAATTAGAAACCAATGATGCCTCTTTGATTCTCTTAACTGGAGCAAGTCTCTTCTATATATCCTTTCGCTTACTTGATACGACAGCTGTGTGAAGTTGGGTGGTATGTGTTGTGATACCATATTTATGTAAAACAAAGGCAGAATGATTTGCCCGGAGGCCCTTGGGCTGCCCTTTGGCAGAGATGGGTAGGCCCATGTCTGAGCCCTAGGAGCCTCTTTCTATCAGAATATTATCTTTGCCTATTGTGTGGGAGGCTGGCATCTGTAGTGAACTTCCCTGCCATATGAAATGACCTTCTTTCCAAAAATGTGGCTCCAGACCACACGTTGGAAAGGCCTATAGATCATAATCTGGTTCCATAATCTTATTGGGTTTTTGGAAAAATCATGACGCATTTTTGCAACGAAAAACATAGAAAACATATGTCATGACTTTTCCGACAACCCAAAACAACCATTGGGAACCAGTCTGTATTCCCCTAGCAGTCTTTAGTCAGGTGTCACTTTGTCTGGTTCAGATCCACCCAATTTTCTTCTTAGAACAAGTCCTGGTCATTCCTTGAACCATTGGTTTGTCACTAGGTGGTATAGTTTTTTTAAAAAAAGAAGTGCAATATACATATAAAAATGCATGTGTATTAAATGTATAGCTCAGTGATTATTCATAAGGTGAATATATCTGTGTAGTGTAATCAACACTAAGACACCAACACTTCTAAAGTCCCTGTGTTTCCATCTAGTCACTAAGACCCCTCCCCCTCTTTAAAAACCCTCCTAACATAGATTAGGTTTAGAGGGTTAGAATTTCCATGCAGGGGAGGATTCTGGTTGGGGTGGGCTAGATGTGGGTCCCAGGGGCAGAGTGCAGAATGGTGCTATGGCCCAGCCCACCTGCTAAATTGCTGGGAGTAACAGCTTTTCAGAAAGTTCAAGAACTTCTAGCCCCGAATCTCATTTTGTCCTCACGTATCTTTAGGAGACTAGCCATGTTTGAAAACTTACTATTCCTTAACTGTTAATAATTATTCCACTTTTCCAAGAGGTCATTTTCCCTCTTATATTAGGTGTACTATTATTTAAAAGTTTTAAAAATTCTGGTAAAATACACATAACATTTACCATGTTAAACATTTTTAAGTGTACACTTAAATGTATTCACATTGTTGTGCTAGCAAACTCCAGAACTTTTTCATCTTGCAAAACTGAAACTCTGTGCTCATTAAACATACTTGGTGCAGTTGTTATTATTTTTATCTTTTTTTACGGAGAATGTCAAATACATTCTAAAGTAGAAACAATAGTGTAATGAACCCCCACATGCCCATCACCCATCTTCAGTAATTATAAATTTGTGGTCAGTTAATGTTTCATTTATATATCGGCATACTTTCCCCACACCATAATTTTTTTAAAGCAACTCCTAGATATCACATCATTGCATGTCTAAATATTTTAGTATGTATATGTAAAAGAAAAGCACTTAAAAATAACCCCAATACTCTTATTATACCTGAAAAAAATTTTAATACTTTTATAATGTAAAATACACATTTAATGTCCACATTTACCTCATTGTCTCAGAAATGTGTGCACTTTTTATCATAAATATGAAATCCTAGAATATGGCGAGAGGAAGGAAAACAAACAATAATCCAGTTGTGGTTTGCCCCATTCCCTGCATGTCAGCCTTTTTTGCTTCTTAAGCTTTGGGAGACTTTTTCTTAAATTTGTTAGCAAAATCCTCATCCCCCAAGGCAGGGTGGGAGGAAAGGAAGAAAGGAAAGGAAAGAAGTCAAATCCTTACTTTGGGTAACGTACCTGTTATTATAGTTCTGGCACTTCTAATTTATTGGCAGAGGTTTATGTCAAGGTCAGTGGCAGCATTGTTGTAGAAATTTAATTAACCTGTGCTCTTTGGATGAAGGACTCCTGTTGACATGCCTTTTATTTTTTACTTGCCCCCTTAGGCTGGCAATAGGAGTTCTGCTCGTGAACAGGAGCTGGCCTTTAGGTCTTATGTGCTGGTGGAGTCAGTCTGCAGAAATCTTCAGACCCTGGCTATGGCAGTGGCTTCTCAGAATGCTGTGTTGTTGGAAGGACCAATAGGATGTGGCAAAACGTCCTTGGTTGAACATTTAGCTGCAATGACAGGAAGAAGGAAGCCCCCTCAGCTTCTCAAAGTCCAGCTTGGAGATCAGACTGACAGTAAGGTAATTAAGAAATGTCAAATTTTGGTATGTTAACATGCTTGTATATATTGTTTTTGCTGAGGGACTGTGAGGATAGTTAATTGGTCTTCCTCATAACTGGTGGGACCAAGCTGTGAAAACCTCAAGTGCCTGCTTCTATCCCTATAGAAGTTTAATGGACGTAATCAAAGGATGTAGCATTAGGACCTCAGGTGTGTGATTTGAGTAATTTTTCTTCTTTCTGCAGATGCTGTTGGGAATGTATCGCTGCACAGATGTCCCGGGAGAGTTTGTGTGGCAGCCTGGCACCCTGACACAGGCAGCCACAAAGGGACACTGGATCCTTCTGGAGGATATTGATTATGCCCCCTTAGATGTCGTATGTCATTCTTCCAATTACTGCCTAATTTCCTTTCTTTAAAGAACATTTTGTTAATTGTGATTTTAGGGGATGATTTAAACATCATAGGAGTTTGATTAGAGATATACTGTGAGAAGCTCATTCATGGATACCTACCTAATCTGGTTTGAGGTCTTGGATTACTTGGCTGGTCTCTTGTTTGATAGAAAATTGATAAAATTCTGCTTGTACTGTGTACTTTAGTAGTTGACTGTGTGACCAATTTCATAGTAGTTTTTTCTTCCTTTAGTTGACTATGTGGCCAATTTTACAGCCTTTCCAAGAATAGGCCCTGTGGGAAACATCCATGTTACGGATACCCTGAGCACTTTGAGACCCTGCTTTCCACCTATGGCATCTGTAGAGCAGTGAGTGGGCTGAGGACAGATGAAGGAAGAGATGATGTAATAAGAGTGTGTTTGTCTTTGTTCCATTAAGGAGAATATACTGGATGTATATTTTTTCATGTGTATAAAATTTAGCTATGGAGGCAGTTTATGTTTTCTCTGTGTTCTGTAAAGTATGACCAAAAAAATGTATTGCAGAATGATTTGGGCAGATTTTCCTGAGATTGGTTTTAATTTTCTTTTGACGTGAACTCCAAAGTTACCTGCATATGGATTTTCCCCTCTTGGAAATGAGAGAGAGAGAAGGTTTAGGGAGATATAAAGGGGAAGGAGTCGCTATAAATATTTGCATATTATGGTGATTTTAGCGTCTGATGAGGTAAAGATGAAATGGGGTTATTGGCCCAAATGGGGCCTCACAGTTTGATCACCATATTCCAGGGTCTTAATGCTCAGCTTTATACGGCTAGAAACTTGGTTTTCTTAATAAGCATGCAGAGCCAAGGCTGACTCCTACCAATGAGACTTAAAAATAAAACTGAATTATAAACCACCAGGCCATTTTAAAGGTATTTGATGAGTCTTGTCCCCTTTCTAGTGCTCTCTTTCCTAGGCATTTTTCCCCCCCAGATATCATGGTACCTGGGAGATCATTAGGGTTATGTGTCATCGAATTAGACTAGCCAAAGAAGATAGAGGAACATAAGGGATATTCCATCCTTGCCATGATGGAGCCTAGGAATCTATCTCTGTCCCATAGCTGAGTACGTTCTTTGATGAGTAAGTCCAGTTTCAAGGCCAAACTGACGATTTCTGTCTTGGTCTCCCTTATAGTTGTGTTTACTTAAAAACATAGCCTGGATCCCTTGGTTATTATTTTATTGTTTCCAGAATTTTTCAGCTAATATTTTAAGGTAGCTTTTACAGTCTCATTCAGGATGATTTTCTTTAATTTTAAGTATTGGAGTTGCCCCTCTATTTTTGGGGGGAGCTTTCCTTTCAGCTCTTAGCATGTATGAAATAGTGATGCTTACTAAAGTTATGTCTAATATTTTAGAACTCTGTTTCTTGGCTCTTTATTTTTCTTACTGTGTTTTTTTCTTTTCATACTTCTAAGCTCATGTCCCCTAGATCCATATGTCTAGTCCACACTTTTCTCAGAAAAATCTCTACTTGGATGTTCCTTAGCCAGTGGAATTTCAGTATGTCCAAAATGGAGCTTGTCTGCTCTGCCACATAGTTACCAAGCCAGAAGTTTGATGTCTCCTTCTTGTAGTCTCTCATTTAGTCTTATATTGTTTAGTACTATTTCTTTATCGCTTTATTCTGTTCTCTCCTATCTCAGCACTGGGCTTATTTTTTTATCTGTCTGTCACTTTGTCTACCTATCTACCCTTTTGTCTTAGTTACCTGACTAGTGTCCTTTTTCTTTCACCTCTTTCCCTCCAAGCTAGCTCTTTTCAGTTTGTCTTCCATATTGTTGTGCAGTTGGTTTTTAAAAAATATATATATATATATACTTTTTCCCAGATGAAAATCTTTTCAATAACTTTAATGAAAAAATTCAAACTCCTTAGCTTAACACAGGAGGCCTTTTATCATCTGTTTCTAAGCCTTGTGTTTTTCCATGCACATTCTGTCCTCACCGTAACAGAATCCTCCCATGCCATGCTCTTAATCACATACGTTTTTATCCATTTGAATAACTTGCCTGGAGTGTATATATGTGCCATTTCTCTCCCACCAAACCTGGCTAATTCCTGCTCATACTTTGAGACTCAGTGAATGTCATCACCCCTGGGACAGCTTCACTGCGCTGCATCTAAACCACTCCGTTCTCATGTACAGCCACCCTCTGTCCTCACACATCACTTTGGTACATCCGGGGCCACACTGTCATGCTGCTTAGTGCTGTGCCTGGCTACCCCGTCAGACGCTGGGCTCTAAAGCCTCGGTCCTGTCTGGACTTGTAGTGTCTTGCTTGGCTCTGGAGGCACTTAGTGAATGTTGAGTGGATGAGTTGTTCTGCTGGAGTGTAGGTGGCTCAGGCTTTCCCACCTGCCTTTTGACCCCAGTTCATGCTGTGAGAACTGGGGTCTCCTTTAAGGGTGTGTTCATTATAAGGAGAGAGAATTGTTTTGTTTTTCGTTACTTCTGTCTTAATAGCTTTCTCGGTGGGGTTTTGTGATGTAGGTTTCCGTGTTGATCCCTCTCTTGGAGAATGGAGAGCTCTTGATTCCTGGCCGAGGTGACTGTCTGAAAGTGGCTCCTGGATTTCAGTTCTTCGCAACCAGGAGGTATGTCTTATTAACCTTTCTATTCCCCCGTGGAGCCCCTTCCTCATAAGCCCGCATGCTAGTGTTGAGTCCAAAAGTCCTGAAATAGAGTTCTCTGGGCCCACTTTAAGCAAGGTTAGCTGGAACTGATGAGAGATCCAACCTTCTCATTCCTGACTATTTTTAATGCAGATAATTAATTTAGAAAACAAGGTGTTTTTTTCCACTTAAAAAGAAGCAGTTTCAAACAATTTTTATATTATTTTCAAGAATAATCATAGGTGAGACTATTGTCAGATAGCCTGGGTTTGAGTCCTGAGACTTTGATATCTATGTATACCTTGCTTGTCTGGTTATATTGGGACTAATAATACCTATTTTACAACTTGGTGTAAGTTTTAAAGATTAAGAGAAATTACTTACATTAAAGACCTGTCACATAGTAAGTACCCAACTAATGGCTAGCCATGAAGATGATAACGATGATGACATGTAGATTTCAAGCAGATAAAAAATTGAGTATAAGCATCAACAAAGAAATAAAACCTAAGCAAATTTACTATATGTTCCTGTCTACATTTTATAATAACATGAATGTAGTGGTGTATTTCCTACTGGTTGTCCGTACCTGTACAGCTTTTCCAAGGCCTTAAAATGCCCAAGAGTGAAATGAATATCACATTATAATTAGTGATTATATTAGTGTTTACTATATTTCAGCGAACATTCACTCCCAGACAGAATGTGGAGCTAACCTAACAGGTTATTTACCTAACAGGTATTTCTCCAGAAATACCTTGCTACCCCTGTTAATTTTAATAGACCCTGAATTTATTCACAGAGATAGTGAAGTTCTTTCCTGCTAAGTACATTTCCCAAAAAGTCCTGGGACATCACAGAAAGATGTCAGATAAACTTGAATTCAGCTCTTGGCTCTGCTATTTGTAGTCATAGTTGAGTGAGCAAGGGAGATACTTCTCCCTATATTCATTCCTTATGCGATCTTCTGAGGATAGTTGTTAGGATTTAATCAAATGGCTTAGGTGTAAGCATGTAGCTTTTCCAGAGTGTATGTTTAATGAATATTCTTTCTCTTAAAATTTTTAATAATTTTTGGTAATAAGCAGTGAACTTATTTTTAATGCTGTGAACCTTTCTCTTTCCTTAATTTATGCCTTAAGGAAGAGAAATGTGTTTGTTGTTGAGATCAAAACACCTAATAGAATCATTTGCAGTGACTTGAAAATAACTTGGTTAAACCTCCTTAGGAAAAATGTCAAACTTGAGCCAACGGGCAGCCTTTCGTTTGTCATCTGCCCTATAAGCCCAACATAGTGGTATCTAGCACCAGAAAGAATGTGACTTTTATTCATACATGAGATAATGCCTAGCAAGGGATAACCAGCACGAAAATTTAAGATTAAAATTGGAAGTTCTGCGTGACTCTTTTTTATTTTGAAATACAGACTCTTGAGCTGTGGAGGAAATTGGTATCGACCACTAAATAGTCATGCTACTCTGCTAGATAAATATTGGACCAAAATTCACCTGGATAACATGGATAAGACAGAACTGAATGAGGTATGTGAATATTAGAAAGAAAGTATCGATGCCTTTCTTTTTTGCTTTCTATTATTAAACGTTTCAGGCCTACAGGTAAATAGAGGAAACAGTATAATGAATCTCCAAGGTACTCATCAACCTGAATTTATAGTTAAAATGTGCTAACGTTTTACTGAATTCACCTGGTATTTTTTATTAATATATTTGAAAGTAAACCCCATAACATTTTATCTCCAAATACTTTGATGCATCTCTAAAAATTTAAGAGCAATTTTTCATATGTAACCACAATAATATTATACCCAAGAAAATGAACAGTAATTCCTGAGTACCATTTAGTTCTCAGACCATATTTTTTGCCCCACTTGTCCCCAAAGGATCTTTTTACTAAGTTAATTTGTAATTAGTATCTTTTACTCTCGACAACTTAATGCACATTTTGATCTGGATATTAGTGAAAATTGAGATGAATTATTTTATAGGTTTTATTAAATGATTCACTCTGTAGTATCTCTGGTCACCTCCGATCATTAAGAGGTATATTAACTTGACTCTGCTAACCCCCTCACCTCCCTTTTGTATCTACCCCCTCACTTGGAAAGCTTCCCTTTCCTTAATGCTTCGTCTTGGAGAGTAGCAAATAAAGCTATTGTCAGTGATTGTTCAGGCACAGGAGGGGTGCTTTGCTCTTCATTTGTGTAAGTTTTTAGATAAATAAGTGACACAAGACAATCTGTTCAAGTATTTCATCCAGCATTTTAGGTATTTATTAGCAGAGGGGTTTTCAGGGTATCTAGTTCACCATATTACTGGGAAAAGCTTGCTCGTGTAAACTCTACGAAGCCCTGCCTTCCCAGTGTGATTGTATAACTTTCTAGCCTATTCTGCACTTGTGAATTCCTTATGTCACTCTCGTTCCCAGTTGTGTATTTCTGTGTCTGATGATACCTTTCTTTTCCTGTTTTTCTGGCCTTAACTATAAGCTGCTTCGGTACTTGCTCACCTTTGTGCCCCACCATTCCCTCAGTGCCTGGCATTTTGTAAATGTTTGTCGTATTGCTCTGTCATAATGCAGCTTTTTCTTTTGCAATTGTAGACATTAAATGTTTAATTTTCAGACTTAAATTCCAGTCTTCTCTCTAAAGGAGAGGACTAAAGTTCACACGTAGGTGCGATTTATTGGGATTGAGAGGATGGGAAGAGCTTTTGATAGCTACTCTTTTTTTACTGTATCCTGTACTTGAAGTACAAGCCAAAGCTCATCTTTCTATTTCTGTCATAAACCACAGGAAGTCATTCTGCTCACAGGAAGTGCAACAGGAGCATTTACTCCCTCACTTAAATAACGTGTATCATATTTAGATAATTGACTTTGAGAAGATTACTTGTTCTTTTTAAGCTTCTGGACTTGCTGATAAATCCTAATAATACTCTACTGAATAAATGACTGGTGGCTAAAACCTTTGTGTGTATTACTTAGGAAATAAAATAATCTCCTATGCCGACCTCATGGGGAACACAGGGAACTGCATTTCTGTTGCTGCCAACCCGTCGTCCTATGCTTAGAAAGATTGTTATTGACTTCTTGCTGAAATATCAAATTATGCTTTAAAAAATGAGCTATTTATGTAGTGCCAGTCTCATATCTAGTAAGTGCCAGGAACTCAGCCCAGGCAGTTTCTCAAACTTTGTCTCCCCCATTCACTTTTGCCTATGTTAAGTCCTGATGCCTTTCTCTGCCAGCGAACCCACTCACAGCCACTGGCGACCTCTGCCAGGTGCCTCTGCATGAAACCTTCCAGGATCCCCCAAGCAGGGCCGATCATGTTGTCTTTTGTGCTGCAAGCTTGATTTGCTTACTTATCTGCAGCTTATGCCAGACGGAGTTTCTTGAGGGTGGACCCCATTCCTTATTTGTTTTGTTTCCCTATCCCTAGAACAGTGTGTGATATAAAGTAGGTACTTAAAAAAATGCCTATTAAAGGAATGAATCTCCAAAAGGCATATCAAATTGATAATAGAGCCATCTCATATCAGTTTAAGTGATAATTATGTTTAGATTTTTTACTTACAGTAATAAAGAAAAGGTATTTTTTTGGCTAAGATAGAAAACGACTGGTTGGTAGGTACACATAAATCTTTTTCATTCAGAACTTTTTTCCAAATAGCTGGGTTTTTACTAAATTGTTAAATTTGGCAAAGTTTTTTTCCAAATAAAAGTAGGTTTTTTTCACCCGGATCATAAGTGTGCATGCTCATATAATGGAATTACTGCTCAGCAGTAAAAAGGAATGAGCTGCTGACACATGGAGTAATGCATGGCTGAATCTCAAAAACACGCTGAGTAAGAGAACCTGAACTACCCACTGCAGCCTCCTGTATGATTCCGTACATATGACAGACTTGCAAAAGCAAAACCATAAGGATCGGAATCAGACTCATGATACCCAGGAGCAGTGTGTCGGGGGATGGATGGATGACAAAGGGGAACGGGGGAACTTTTTGTTTTCGGGTTGATAGAAATAGAATGTATTTTGTTTGTGGTAACCAAGGTTATAAATAATATGACCAGTTTTATAAGTGTTCCCTTCGTACGCAAAAATGTATTTCTGTATTTGAAAGGTCCACATGTGTATCCATTAAATTGAATCTGTTGATTGTGTTATTCTCTTCTTATTTAATTTTTAATCCATCTGAAATATGTTTTCAATATTTGCTATAAAATCCTCCAATAAAAAAAGGTATAGAGATATAAAATCTGTGAGACCTACCACTGGAGATGACACTGTGAAAAGGTTTTAGTTCTTTACCCTTATAAATATGTGGACATTACATATTTATTATGTACAAAATATGTGGATATTTTATATGTAAATTGAATCAACATATTTCTTTTCAAGCTCATTTAAATATACTGGATGGTAATATTTCTAATATATTCATGATATTTCCCATTATCAATTCCATATCAAAAAAAACCTTAGAACTAGTGTGAGCACTTAGTATTATTACACTGCAAAAAATGCTCGGTAGTTATCGAAGTGGATGATCTTCTACTTTTTAAATTCTGTCGTCTGCTTTTTAAAGATCAGCTGCTTTTTAGTACTTAACACTAGCACCTTTTACTGTGGTCTGCTTTTAAAAAGTTAGTTTTTCTTTTCCCATTAACTGCTTCTAATTTGCTTTGGCTGAGAAATGATATGACGAGTCATACTAGAGTTGTGTTTACAGTTAGGGTAAATAGCACCTGCAGGATTCATCATTGAGTCAAGTCCTGGGACTTGGATGTGTATGTTGCTTGGAGACCCTTCCCCATCTGGTGTCCGTGCCCTAAGCTTGTGTCATAGATAATGAGGTTGCCAGATAACTGAGTTCTGTGGAGGAAGAAAGTCATGGTTTTTGAGGGGGAAGGGGCTCTGCGTAAGGGTGAAGTTCTTATACTTGGTAACGATGACAAATTTCATAGAGAAATACATTTTTTGGTTGACTAGTATCTGCAGCAGTGAATGTGTGCTTTACAAAAATCACTATGTCTGCTGTTAAATTTTCTTTGCTTTTTTTCTTCTGTCAGGTTCTTCAGAGCAGATACCCCAGCCTATTGGCAGCAACTGATCACCTGCTAGACATTTACATCCAGCTTACTGGGGATAAACATCACTCCCAGAGTGATAGTTCTGTTGAATGTGAACAGGCACCTCAGGAAGTTTCAGAAGCCAGAAGAGAAAATAAAAGACTGAGCCTTGAGGGAAGAGAATTGTCTCTAAGGTACTGCACTAAACACTTTTCTGAGTTGATGTTTTAAAAACTACTTCCCTCAAAAGTTCCCTCCAGCTAGAACTGAATGCTTATTAGAGCTCAGGTTTATGAAATTAGACTTCTGTCCTGCTTTGCAGTGTCAGCTCACTCCTCTTTTCAGATCTGTAGTTACTGATTAGGAAGGCTTGTAAAGGTAATGTTATTTTCGCTTTAAAAAATAATTTTTAAAGCCAAAGTTAGGAATAGTTACTGACATAGTTCTTTCACTGGATGTCCTTTTGTGACACATGTGGACTTATATAAGATCCTGGGATTTTGCTGTATATAGTGAGCTCTGTGCCTTTTCTCTCCATTCTCCATGTTTGACTTGTTCTTTGAGAAGTGAGAATTAGGAATGGGCACCTCCCCCTCAGTTTGCTCTGAGAGTTGCTCCCCCACCCCACTACCTTCTCTGGCATGGATGGGGAGAAATGAGTTATAGGTCACTTCCTGGTAGGGGCAGGGACTAGAACAACTCACTTATTCTTTTCCCATGACACTTTATCTTCACATTGCCAGAAAAAAGGAGAGACTTCGTTGTCAGGTAGCCCCAGACTTAAGTGGACCAAATAAACTGATGCCCTTGATGTCTGTAGCCTATGGTCTTTTATTTGTTGACTTTTTTTTTTTTAAGGGACCTCCTGAATTGGTGTAATAGGATTGCCCATAGCTTTGACAGTCTGTCTGCATCAGCATCATTCAGTATTTTTCAAGAGGTAAGATAGCGTCCTTGCTTGTTTTCTCGGTGCCCTATCAGGCTGTTGATTTCGTTGTTATTTTCTCTATTTTCTTTCTTTTGATTGCTGTCAGAGTTTTTCTTTTGTGTAGGTGTTTATTATACTTAGCTGGTTAAAACTGAACTAATGTTGCCTTCAAACTAATTGGGCATAATAAATGTTTCGTGGTTTTTTTGAAACAGGTTACTACTTAATTCAATTAAGCATAGTTTGAGATAGAATAAAACAGGTACTGAAATTAATGGTAAATTGAAAAAAAATCTCCCAGGTGATAATGTTATAAAATATATAATTTTATAATGTTACAAAAAATATAAAAGTGTTTTATGTTTTACATTTAACATTTATTCCTATATATAATTTCTTAGTTTATTGGATAGATTTCTATTTCTTCTCTTGTGTCAATAGAGTCTCTTAATTTTAGTCCAGAGAAATTTATGTGGGGGTTACAAAGTGTAACCTTGTATTCTGGGTTTGGGAAGGAAGCCCAATTGAATTATACAGCTCTGCCATATTCAATAAGAACAAAGATTTCTCTCTACCTGCTTAAGAATAAAAGTGGTACTGTGTGAAGATCTTTGGGCTCTTAAAAACATTGACCAGTTTTGATTATAAAAGGTTCCTGGTTTCTATTAGCTAGGACTGAGGAAAGAATAGTGATCCAGTTTGGTTTGCAGTATCTCTTTGTGTTTGGTAAGGTTACTTTGAGTAGAAAGAAACCTCATTTGGAGTGGATACTTCAGCTCAGCTGACCCTGAAATGCTGTGTGACGGTCCCATAAATCGTGTTCTTCTCTCCAGTGAACTACTCTTCCCATTCTCCTACATTCCTCATCTTTCTTACAGGCAACCCTGTTTTGTAATTTTAGAATAAAATATGGCATTTGTAGGATTTCTCTAAGCTTCTTAGTGTCTATTTTAGAATGTCATTGTGTGTGTGTGTGTGTGTGTGTGTGTGTGTGTGTGAAACCACTTTACTGAGATATAATTCACTTACCATAAAATTCACTCTTGTAAAGTGTATAATTCAGGGTTTTTTAGTGTATTCAAAAAATTATGCAGCTATCACCATTTTCTAATTCTAGAATAATTTCATCACCCAAAAAGAAACTTTGTACCCATTTAGCTATCATCCCCATTTTGCCCTCCCTGCAGCCCCTGACAACCACTTATCTACCTTCTATCTATAGATTTGCTGAACCTGGGCATTTCATATGAATGGAATCACACATTATATGCATATTCTCTCAGTTAATTCATATTGAATTTAGCATGAGTCAGTGCTTCATTATTTTTATGGCTAAATAACATTTTCTTGTATGTATATACCACATTTTGTTATTCCATTTGTTGATGGATATTTAGGTTGTTTCATCTTTTGGGTATTGTGAATAATGCTGCTGTTAACATTTATATACAAGTATTTTATTAATACAGAAGCAATATATATGTACTGTTGAAAATGGGAAAATAATAGGAAAGCGAAATGATAAAATAAAAATATTTCCCTATCCAGGATTCCCCAGCACTGTTAAGATCTTGGTGTATCTCCTTCCAGATCTTTTTCTACGTTATCGGCTTAAGAACTCTTGCTGTTTCACAGTCCCCCATTTAAATATACTATCTTGTTGAAGAGATTCAGGACAGTTCTTTTGCAGAGCATTCCACCTTCTGGCTTACCTGGCTGCTTCTTTATTGCTCTCACACCAACTGGTTCTGCAGTTCAATCCATTTCTGATACTAGCTACCTGGAGTTAGTGTAGACCCCATAGGTTCAAGGGCTCAAATCCTCCACGAGACTGCCCCCACTTTAGACTCCAGCCTCAAGTCTCGAGGGCCACCCACATTTATAACCTACCAGCTATAAATTCAGGGACTGCCACAGTCCCCTCAGGGTTAATAATTGACTCACTCATTGAAAGCACGATATGGTACAGATTACAGTTTTAATATAAAAGATACAATTCAGGAACAGTCAAATGGAAGAGATGCAAAGGGCAAGGTCTCAAGGGTCCCAAGCATAGGCACTTATGTTTGTGTGGAGTCAGGTTGTGCCACCTTTCTGGTACATCAGTATGTCCACCAACCAGGAAGCTCTCCAAGCTTTGGACATCCAGCCTTTTATTATGGTCTTACGTCATTGGCCACATGATTGAGCTCAGTCTCTAGACTTCTCCCCTCCTCAAAGGTCGGGGGTGGGGTTAAAAGTTTCAATCCTCCAATCAGTGCTTGGCCTTTGTTAAACTATCTAAGGGCCCATCAGGAATCAGCTTGTTTAGCATAATAAACTCTGGTATGGTCCAAAGGGGCTCTAGTGAATAACAAAAGACACTCCTTACTCTTGATAATTCCAAGGGTTTTTGAAGCTCTGTACCAGAAATTAGGGACAAAAACCAGATAAATCCTCTCTTTTAAATGCTTGTGTGAAGTTCATTGATATATTTATTGTACTTGGTGGTGGCAGAACCAGATACAGTAAGTCCTTACTTAATGTTGTTGTTAGTTAGGTTCTTGGAAAAGGCGACTTTAAGCAAAATGAGGTATAATGAAACCAATTTTACCATAGGTTAATTTATATAAACAAAGGTTAAGTTTGTACAGCATATTTCAGGTCACAAAAGTTCTAAATAAAGACCCCAGACACTTCTAATATTAAATATTGAAATAAATGTGAGCTATACATACGTTTAAGAAAGATTAATAAAAGCGAGTAAGATAATTATTTTCCAACCCACTTATTCTATTTAGTTCAGGGTCAAGGGTGGCCAGAGCTTCTGGCAGCAACTCAGGGTGCAAGGTGGGACCAACCCTAAACAGGACACCATTCCATCACAGGGCACACTCACTCAGACTAGGACAATTGAGACATGTCTACCTGACGTGCACAACTTTGGGATGTGGGAGGAAACCAGAGTACCCAGAGAAAACCCGGAGAGAATGTGCAAACTACACAGACAGTGGCCTCGACCAAGAATTGATTATTTTTTCTCATCAACATCATAATGAAACTATGATGAACAAAATGATGTTACTTGAGTACCCACTGTATATTCTTTGTTTTGCCACACTCGTGTCCTTTACCTGGTCATTCTATCTCCTGTCCTTCCCGTAAACAGAAATTTAACAGAATCCTTGAGGTATTCACATTCAACTTTTTTGGGGTAGAATCTGTTTCTGGTGGTGATACGTATTTTCTATTTCATTACATCAGAAGGCATATATCTGGTTGGCCTGTCTGTAGTTGCTAAGATTGAGTACTGGATTAAGAGCAATGACAATGTGATCCCTTTATTGTAAAGTTGCCCTTTACAACTAGAAAGGAATCTTTTGGTGTTATTTCCACTGTCTGAGAGTCATTTCCTCCATGAACCATGTATCTGATGATTAACACTCTTTGCTGTTTTTGCCTGAATTTCGGATTTGCACAATGAGATTTTTTGGTTTTTTTTCTAATTAACCAGTATTTTGATAGTAAAGCTTCACCTTTGTTAGTGTCCTGTCTTTATGGTAAGGTCCTGAGCCTGGGGTTAGTACCTTATCTGTACTCTCCTCAGTCTTGCAGGAATGTACCTGCTACATATTATGTTCCTCCCTTTTTGACCAGGATAATGATGTTCTGTTGTTAATGTATTATTTTAAAAATCAGTCAGCATTAACCTTGGTTATTTTAATAGGCTCTGGACTGTTTCTCAGCAATGCTCTCCAAGCATACAAGCAAACTGAAAATTGCAGAAGTCATCGGAAGCAGATTGAACATTTCTAAGAAAAAGGTATGTAGTGCTATTTTTACTTCCCTGTTGAAAAGAAACCGAGATGCTTAGCTTACTTGCTGGTTTCTGCTTCTTACCTGGAACAACTTTTGCAATAACTGCCTCCTCTGTCGGGGTTGGTAGTTTCATTGCTGCCTCTCATGGACATAAAGTTCACCCTGTCTCCTCGATAAGTAGTTCTTCATGTGTTTCACATTTTTAAAGTGAGTTTCCTGGTATCCTGTATCACATACATGCCTTATTCTCCTGTGGTTTTTTGTTTTGTTTTTTTTTGTTGTTGTTTTGTTTTATAAATGGGTTTCTTTTTTTCATTTTTCTTTAATTTTTTAAGATTTTTTTGGGGGGAATGGGAAAAGTGCTGGGGAATTGGGGGAAGTGGAACAGACAAGTTGCTATCCTTTTGTTCCTCACTCTAGCTGTGGAGGATGTTGCTTCACTGGCCCAAGTTGGCACCATCATTGCACTCTTCCCGGGTGAGGCAGATCAGTCGCTGTCTTCTGGACGGCCGCTCACTGCGGCTGCTGGCCGCTCACGCTGGCTGCTGGCTACACACGG